CGTTTTAAATTAGTTGTCGTTTTAGAAGTTAAATTTTGTTTTAAATTAGTTGTCGTTTTCTGTTTTCAATGTACATGTTTGACAGATTTTCCAATTTTACCCCTATTCTTTAAGCTTATTTATTAACAATATCAAATAAAACAATACATTAATTAGGGGTAAAATAGAAAAATTGAATGTTTTCTTAATACGCGTGAAAAAAACCTTAAACGACAACTAATATAAAACGGAGGGAGTATCACATTTGGTCCAAATCTTATCCCCTCTACCATATTGGAGGTCCAATTATCATTCATATCACTTTGTGCTTATAAAATGACCATTTTACCCTCCAATCGGTGAGAAAAGAAACTGCGGTTGATGTGATCCTCCGAAATTCATGCCGTTTTTTCTCTCTCTCCTGGCACATTGGTAAACATTTTCGTGCCTCTGGCTGGTAAAACAAAGTTGTCCCCGAGTAAATCCAGATCTTCGTCTTCGGCTCTCTGGCGGAATAAAATAAAGATCAAGTTGTCCCCAAGTAAATCCAGATCTCTGGCTGGTAAAACCACATCATCTGGCGATGGACAATCAAGTGAAGTTGTCCCTGAGTAAATCCAGATCTCTGGTTGGTAAACCCACATCATCTGGCGATGGACAATCAAGAGATACAGTTATCCCCGATCCTGTTGTCCCTGAATTTAACCTATATCATCTCCCCAAACGTTTTTATCAATTAATTACTTGCCTTGACCTAGTAATTAATGATTTGTATTAATTATATTTTAATGTCTAATAATCATTGTCACTATTTAATGTGGTTGTTCCCCTTTTTCAACATGCTCTACTTTTTTCTGACGCACAATGCATTAATTCTCTCTCTTTCTGCAGAGTCATCAAGGGCAAAATCGTCCATCGTCTACCACAATACCACAAACAAGTGGTACAAGTGCTAAACCATTCTCCATTGTGGTAGAGATGTTAAGGAATTTGAAAAATGTGGTACATTTGGCAAAAATCCCTAAAAAAAATCAATTATGAATTAGATGATATATTTTTAAATTAATTTATCACTGAATTTTATGGAAAATTTTTATATATTAGGGAAGAGAAAGTTTTTATATATTAAGATGGTGTCTTTTCCAACCGAATGGCCGGCGTTTTCAGTGTACTTGGAGGAATTTCAGAGCGACAAGGAAGAATTCTCATCCTTCTCTTTATCTTTAATTTCTCGCAATGCTAATGTAAAAGCGGATCATCTGGCACGAAAAATTCGTACAGAACCGCTTCATATCACATTTGTAAACAACATTCCACATGAATGACTCGTTTGAGCTCTAATTAATTTCAGATGACAAAAAAAAAAAAAAAGAGAAAATAGAAAAATGCACACCAACGTAACAACAATAAAGCCCAGCTTAAAATGCAAAACCATACTAAATCCTCAGAAAATGCTCAAAAGAAAAGAAAAGAATCATAACTCATAAGATGATTACTGCTGCATATATCATTCTAATAAGCAGAGACGTAGAGAAAGAAAACAAGAGAACTAAAACTCGAAATGATATGGAAAAGAAAACATCAAAAATGTGCAATAATTTTTCTAAGATTCAGAGAACAAAAATGAACCAACGTGATGTTACTGTAGCTTCAGTTGTATAGAGTTAAGTTTTTTAAATTTGCGTTTCTAAAGATGAAAGCTACTACTTCCTTCTCTTCTTTTGTTCCTTCATAACTATACCATTCAAGAGTTTTAAGACTTGATAACAGGCATTCAGGAACTGAGCTCGGTTCATTCCAGCAGGGTCGCGGTTCATCATCCAAAGCTTCATGGCACTAAGACAAATTTAATAAGCTGAAATTAGTTAATGTAAAGTAGTGAATTATAGAACCTGACATTAGACTGGAAAATTACCTGTCTAAGTTCGAGAGATTGTAGTTTAGGGGAATCTCTCAGCAAACACATAAGTAGATTCAACCACTCTCTATAACATGTGCCTATCTGTAAATGTACAAGACGGTGAAAGACGCTACCAACAGCATATGCATCCTGCAGCATAATAGGTAAATAAGCTATTTTAGTGGCAACATATTTGCAATGGTGGAACACTTAATTGTTTTAGTCATTCTTAAATAATTCTCTGAAAAGTAAATAAAATCAATTAAGAAGACGATAAGAGAATACACACAACATCACATACACAGTTAGGATAATATTCTTACCTCTGAGGTTGATAAACATAAAGAGAGACGCTTGACTGAAGTAATAGAACTCAGAATATTCCCAAGATGAATATAAGCGACGTCAACATCTGCCTCTACAATATTAGGCATTTCATTCTCAATGACACAAAACCCACCTCCATAATTATCGAGAATGTCAAGTCTCTCTAAAGAAGGAGCGTCTATCACAAACCCAGCTGCAATACCTATATCTTCGAATTCTGCGACTGTTTTATTCAAGACTAAACTCTTGAGAGAAGGGACTTTTATGGTGAAAATGGTCACATTGTCATGTGGACGTCGTTTCACAACCAAGCTTTTAAGAACAGGACAACTAGATAAAAGCCTCTGGACTAAATCGTCACTTGGGTATTTCACATATTTAAGGCTCAATTTCTTGAGAGATGGGAAAGAGATTGGAGAAGTGAAATCCACAAGAACCACTTTCTTTATTTTCAATTTTACAAGCATGCTACACCCTGTGTACAAACTCCTTGGAAGTATGACTGGAGCTGTACTGTTAAAACACCAGTCCGTCTTGATAATCAGCTTACGCACACAGCGTTTAAGTGCAGTTATGATCCATACTCCGATATCGGCACCAGAATTTTGACTAAGTTTGAAATGCAAAGTTTCTATAATTGGTGCCTCATGCAAAAGCAAAGACCTGTCCACAAACCGAGGAAAACTTCCAGAGCTATCATCATCATATATGAGTTTTGGCACCATATTCCAAAGCGGTTGCCATCGTTTGGACAAAACCATTGTGGCCACAACATCTCTTGCAGTAGGCAGTAAAGATAATATTTTCAAGAGCAATGCATCGGGCAACTCACTTATGCTATCCATAATTGAGAGCTAATTAACCCTTTTGCAAATACTTATGCAGAAATCCTAAAACCCTCTATGGAAAACAGAAATCCACCCTAGAAATCAATGAGAAAGAACAATAGCAGCAGTCGATTTGTGTATCCAAACAGAGATCGATGAATTTTGTGAACCTATTTTACTTTGCAAGGAAAGTGAAATACCTAAAGCCTTGCGCCACTTCTCCTTAGGCCTATCTTGTTTCTGTAGCCATAAGCTTCCTTTTAATAACCAAACCCTAACGTCCTCTGTTTCCTTTTTTTTTTTTTTTTTTTCTCTTTGTAACAAGAATTAAAAATTACAGAAACAAAAAAAAAAATTCAACTGGTTATGCTCAAACCTAAACCGAACTGAGCCACACCGGAAATTTTCAAATAAACATACTTTCGGTTTACATTCAGTAACAATTATTTCAAACCAAGAAATCGAACACCAACATAACAAGCCAAGTTTGTGGAAAGTTAAGTCCAACCATACTTAATTGAAAAAAAGAAGAAAATGTTCCAGAAGAAGAGAAAGGACCCATAAGATGGTTAGTGATGCTGCTACCAATCCAAGGTAAGATAATAGTTCTTATGTAATTTTATTCTAGTACGAGAGACTAGAGCAAGAACATAAGAAATTTAAATACCTAGATAATAGGGTAATAAAAAACATCAAAGTTGTAATAGTTTGTAAAAGATTCAGATCAAATAAACCAACAAAACGTTACTACTAGACTTGTGAACATGTCTGACTGACTGTAGCTTCAGTGGAATGCAAGCTCACAGGTAGGTGAACGCCTGGACGGTAATGTTAACTCTTTGATCATCTCAAGTTTCTTATCGCTGTCAGTGGTTTTAGAGGAGATAGTTACATTTTTTAAACAGCTTCCGGTTCTGAGGATGAATGCCACTAGCTCTTTCTCTTCTTCCGTTCCTTCATAGTTTACCCATTCAAGAGTTTCAAGACTCGATATCATACATTCAGAAACAGAACTTGGTTTATTCCAACATGGGCGCGGTTCTTCAACACGAAGTTCATGGTACTGAGATAAAATTATGGGATGAAGGTACTAGTGAATCATTAATGGTATGAAATTATTTAATGTACAGTAGTGAATTATAACAATCGCACTGACATTAGACAGGAAAATTACCTTTATAAGTTTGAGAGATAGTAGTCTGGGTGAATCTCTGAGCAGACACATAAGTAAATTCAACCACTCTGTTTCACATGTACATATCTTTAAATGTAGAAGACCGTGGAAGACACTACCAACAGGATATGCATCCTGAAAAAGAGACAACAAAAGTACCCGAGCGTTGTAGTACCAACAGATTTAGTCACAACGGTGGATGAGAAATTGTGAAAAGCAAGAATGCATATGATATCACAATGGAAACAACAACTTAAAAGTTAACAACAATATATTACCTTTAAGTGTCGTAAACATAAATAGAGCCGCTTGACAGAAGTAATAGAACTCAGGATCTTCCCAGGATGAACATAAAGGACGTCAACACCAGCCTTTAGAATCTCAGGCGTATTATTCTCAAAGACGCAAAACCCACCCCTATGATCAATAATGTCGAAGAACTCCAAAGAAGGGGCATCTATCGCAAACCCACGAGCTTCATCGTCAAAAGTTTTTGGTGATTCACGCAAGAATAAACTCTTCAGAGAAGGCACTATAACAGTGAAAATGGTCACATTGTCATTGGGGTCTCGTTCCACAGCCAAGGCTTCAAGAACAAGGCAATTTGATAAAAACTTCTTGACAAATTCATCGTTAGGATACTTGACTGATAAAAGGCTCAAAGTTTTGAGGGATGGGAACGTAACCAAGGAAGAAAAATCCACGAGAATCACGCTGTTTAGCTTCAAGGTCACAAGCATTGTACAGCATGTATACAAACTCCTTGGAAGTATGACTGAATTGTTGAATTCACTCACGTTTCAGGTTTTTGTTTCTCTCACAATCTCTCTTAAGAAAAGGTTCTTCAAACCATTATTAATTCACTTAACTCTTACATACTCAGACACACATACTTATACACCAAAAAACACAACCACACATGCCTTAACATACTCATGACTCTCTAAGACACGCAACATCATCTAGCTAGAGCCACCCTATTACTCTTGGAACTCTAATTCTCTTTTCTCGACACTTAACCTCATCATTAACCTAACAGCACACACAATTAACTTAAATTGGGCCTAAACAAAATCTGCAGGCCCAAAGACACAAAACAGGCCCACCACGACATCATCTTCTTCTTCACTTCACGTCTTCATCATCTCCAAGTTCTTCTTCTCTAAACCTTCTGCTTCTTCTTTTCTTCAATCGTTAACTTGTGATTTTTGTCTTTTGCAGGTGCAATCAAAGGATCAGACTTCAACACTCCCTCTTGAGCCTTTGTGTTGCTCCTGCAATTCCAGTTCAAAACTTTGAAACGTGACAACCTCAAATCTTCTTCGGTCTTCATTGGAGGAGGTCTCTTCAGGGCCTCAACATAACTTGTAGGTTTACTCAATTTCACGCTTTCCATCTTGATTGGGTTTTTCTCCATCACACTTGATTCTTCTTTTGATTTCCCAATTTTCTTATCTCCCTCTTGATTGATAGTCTCACACACCTTGCTTTGTTCTTTGTTGATCTTCATAAACTTGAGATTCTTCGTCTCTTGAATGTCTTTTCCATCAAAAATTAGTTCACCAAACTTGATAACTTGTGATTTATCTGACACACGTGACCCGCCTTCTTTCTCGACTTGAGTTTGGATTTGAGATTTCTGTTGCTTGCTTGATTTCTTAGCCTCCTGGAAATTGAATCCTTTGAACTTTGGTTCATGATTCTTGACTTCTTCTTCATATGATTGCTCCGATTCTCTTTTGAAGTTCACTTGAGCTTTCTTCTGACAATTACTGACCACTTCACCAATCTCCTCACGGTCATTACTGTTCACCACTTTGATTTTTCTCCTTGAACTTTCTTCATTATCACCTTTACTCATTGAGTTTGATTTCTTCTCTTGCTGATGAAATGGCTCTGCAGCCTCGTTCTTCTTTTTGATAGATATAGAACATCTTGGATTATTGAATTCAGACTTGATCTTCCTTATCAAGTATTTTGCAGGTTTAGTCTCGGATTCCACGTTTCTTTCAACACAGCCTTGAGAGTTATGAGATTCAGTTTTTGATCCCATGAACTTTTGCTTGTTTGATGACAGCTTGCTTAGGAAGGAATCATTGGTGTTGGAAGCTTTCTGAGGAGACGACCCTTCACTTTTATCCTGAGCCACCATTGAAGTTTCTTTAATAGAAGACATCTTCAGATGGAAACTGTTCTTGACCATTTGAACTTCAGCAATACTCTTTCCAGCTCTATCAAGAATGAGGCAGCTGTGTTGTTTAAAGACAACTTCATATCCATTCTCAATCATCTGTGAGACACTCAGTAGATTCTTGGTGATTTCAGGTACAAGAAAGACATTTTTAATGACTCTTTTTCCCTCTCTAGTCATAATATTAACATCTCCTTTTCCTTTAGACATAAGTACAACTCCATTTCCAATTAGAATTGGTACCTGGAACGTTGAATCGATTCTGACGAACATGTTCTCATTTGGAGTCATGTGGTTTGTGCATCCACTGTCAATGAGCCATGTATCCTCTTCAAACGATTCATGAGTTGCAAGTCTTGCTGTGAACATTTGATATGCTTCTTCTTCTACCTCCTCAGGTTCTTGTTCTTGATTTAGTTGAGCTTCTTCAGATTTTCTGTTTCTGCAATCTCTGAAGATGTGGCCTTGTTTCCCGCAGTTGAAGCAGCTTCTTGTTTCTCTGTTTCTGTAGATGTTGTTGTTATTGAATTCAGGTTTGTTTCTCCCATGTTTGAAAAAACACACATCTTCGTTATGGTTGTCTTTTTTACAGAAACTGCACCATCTTTTTCCTCTGAAGCTTGTCTGACTTGAGTTTCCTTTCTCATTGTCTTCTGTTTTTAGACCTCTGAATCGAGCAACGAATGCTCCGTCGGTATCTTCTTCTTCATCCGGAAAAAAATTTCTTTTCATGAGCTTCAAGAGAGCCAATCAACTCAGCAAAGGTAACTGTCCTTAGATCTTTTGTTTCCTCCATTAGAGATGCCAGAGAAGCATAACTTTTCGGCATGGAAGCTAACATCTTGACAACCAAGTCAAAATCAGATCTACCTTCTCCTAACGCCCTCATTTGGTTAGCAACAGCTTGAATTCTATCAGAGTAAACTTTGACCTTTTCACCCTCTTTCATTTTCAGATTTTCAAAATCTCTTCTTAAGGATTGAAGTCTAACCATCTTAACTTTCTCATTACCTTGATAGGAGTATTCCAGAAGATCCCATGCATGCTTGGCTGTTGTGGCAGAGAGGATTTTGTCGAAGATAGTATCAGCAACAGCATGTTGAATGATCTGGAGAGCTGCAGTATCCTTGATCTTGAGAGCCCGCAAGTTTGTAGCTTCTTTTATCTGATCTGCTCCAGGAGTCTCTAAACCTTTGGATGAAGATACTTCTGGGACACCTTCCTTGACCACATCCCAGAGATCCTTATTCATGAGTGTAGTACGCATCCTAGCTGCCCAAAACTCGTAGTTTTGGCCATCAAACACAGCCACCAGCTGTGAGGGTTGCAGGTTAATCGCCATGGGAGATTGCAGGTTAATCGCCATAAAGCTAATCTTCTTACTTCTCTTTAACTTGACCCTTTTGAATGCTTGCACAGGTTCCACAGATCAGCTAGAGCTCTGATACCATGTTGAATTCACTCACGTTTCAGGTTTTTGTTTCTCTCACAATCTCTCTTAAGAAAAGGTTCTTCAAACCATTATTAATTCACTTAACTCTTACATACTCAGACACACATACTTATACACCAAAAAACACAACCACACATGCCTTAACATACTCATGACTCTCTAAGACACGCAACATCATCTAGCTAGAGCCACCCTATTACTCTTGGAACTCTAATTCTCTTTTCTCGACACTTAACCTCATCATTAACCTAACAGCACACACAATTAACTTAAATTGGGCCTAAACAAAATCTGCAGGCCCAAAGACACAAAACAGGCCCACCACGACATCATCTTCTTCTTCACTTCACGTCTTCATCATCTCCAAGTTCTTCTTCTCTAAACCTTCTGCTTCTTCTTTTCTTCAATCGTTAACTTGTGATTTTTGTCTTTTGCAGGTGCAATCAAAGGATCAGACTTCAACACTCCCTCTTGAGCCTTTGTGTTGCTCCTGCAATTCCAGTTCAAAACTTTGAAACGTGACAACCTCAAATCTTCTTCGGTCTTCATTGGAGGAGGTCTCTTCAGGGCCTCAACATAACTTGTAGGTTTACTCAATTTCACGCTTTCCATCTTGATTGGGTTTTTCTCCATCACACTTGATTCTTCTTTTGATTTCCCAATTTTCTTATCTCCCTCTTGATTGATAGTCTCACACACCTTGCTTTGTTCTTTGTTGATCTTCATAAACTTGAGATTCTTCGTCTCTTGAATGTCTTTTCCATCAAAAATTAGTTCACCAAACTTGATAACTTGTGATTTATCTGACACACGTGACCCGCCTTCTTTCTCGACTTGAGTTTGGATTTGAGATTTCTGTTGCTTGCTTGATTTCTTAGCCTCCTGGAAATTGAATCCTTTGAACTTTGGTTCATGATTCTTGACTTCTTCTTCATATGATTGCTCCGATTCTCTTTTGAAGTTCACTTGAGCTTTCTTCTGACAATTACTGACCACTTCACCAATCTCCTCACGGTCATTACTGTTCACCACTTTGATTTTTCTCCTTGAACTTTCTTCATTATCACCTTTACTCATTGAGTTTGATTTCTTCTCTTGCTGATGAAATGGCTCTGCAGCCTCGTTCTTCTTTTTGATAGATATAGAACATCTTGGATTATTGAATTCAGACTTGATCTTCCTTATCAAGTATTTTGCAGGTTTAGTCTCGGATTCCACGTTTCTTTCAACACAGCCTTGAGAGTTATGAGATTCAGTTTTTGATCCCATGAACTTTTGCTTGTTTGATGACAGCTTGCTTAGGAAGGAATCATTGGTGTTGGAAGCTTTCTGAGGAGACGACCCTTCACTTTTATCCTGAGCCACCATTGAAGTTTCTTTAATAGAAGACATCTTCAGATGGAAACTGTTCTTGACCATTTGAACTTCAGCAATACTCTTTCCAGCTCTATCAAGAATGAGGCAGCTGTGTTGTTTAAAGACAACTTCATATCCATTCTCAATCATCTGTGAGACACTCAGTAGATTCTTGGTGATTTCAGGTACAAGAAAGACATTTTTAATGACTCTTTTTCCCTCTCTAGTCATAATATTAACATCTCCTTTTCCTTTAGACATAAGTACAACTCCATTTCCAATTAGAATTGGTACCTGGAACGTTGAATCGATTCTGACGAACATGTTCTCATTTGGAGTCATGTGGTTTGTGCATCCACTGTCAATGAGCCATGTATCCTCTTCAAACGATTCATGAGTTGCAAGTCTTGCTGTGAACATTTGATATGCTTCTTCTTCTACCTCCTCAGGTTCTTGTTCTTGATTTAGTTGAGCTTCTTCAGATTTTCTGTTTCTGCAATCTCTGAAGATGTGGCCTTGTTTCCCGCAGTTGAAGCAGCTTCTTGTTTCTCTGTTTCTGTAGATGTTGTTGTTATTGAATTCAGGTTTGTTTCTCCCATGTTTGAAAAAACACACATCTTCGTTATGGTTGTCTTTTTTACAGAAACTGCACCATCTTTTTCCTCTGAAGCTTGTCTGACTTGAGTTTCCTTTCTCATTGTCTTCTGTTTTTAGACCTCTGAATCGAGCAACGAATGCTCCGTCGGTATCTTCTTCTTCATCCGGAAAAAAATTTCTTTTCATGAGCTTCAAGAGAGCCAATCAACTCAGCAAAGGTAACTGTCCTTAGATCTTTTGTTTCCTCCATTAGAGATGCCAGAGAAGCATAACTTTTCGGCATGGAAGCTAACATCTTGACAACCAAGTCAAAATCAGATCTACCTTCTCCTAACGCCCTCATTTGGTTAGCAACAGCTTGAATTCTATCAGAGTAAACTTTGACCTTTTCACCCTCTTTCATTTTCAGATTTTCAAAATCTCTTCTTAAGGATTGAAGTCTAACCATCTTAACTTTCTCATTACCTTGATAGGAGTATTCCAGAAGATCCCATGCATGCTTGGCTGTTGTGGCAGAGAGGATTTTGTCGAAGATAGTATCAGCAACAGCATGTTGAATGATCTGGAGAGCTGCAGTATCCTTGATCTTGAGAGCCCGCAAGTTTGTAGCTTCTTTTATCTGATCTGCTCCAGGAGTCTCTAAACCTTTGGATGAAGATACTTCTGGGACACCTTCCTTGACCACATCCCAGAGATCCTTATTCATGAGTGTAGTACGCATCCTAGCTGCCCAAAACTCGTAGTTTTGGCCATCAAACACAGCCACCAGCTGTGAGGGTTGCAGGTTAATCGCCATGGGAGATTGCAGGTTAATCGCCATAAAGCTAATCTTCTTACTTCTCTTTAACTTGACCCTTTTGAATGCTTGCACAGGTTCCACAGATCAGCTAGAGCTCTGATACCATGTTGAATTCACTCACGTTTCAGGTTTTTGTTTCTCTCACAATCTCTCTTAAGAAAAGGTTCTTCAAACCATTATTAATTCACTTAACTCTTACATACTCAGACACACATACTTATACACCAAAAAACACAACCACACATGCCTTAACATACTCATGACTCTCTAAGACACGCAACATCATCTAGCTAGAGCCACCCTATTACTCTTGGAACTCTAATTCTCTTTTCTCGACACTTAACCTCATCATTAACCTAACAGCACACACAATTAACTTAAATTGGGCCTAAACAAAATCTGCAGGCCCAAAGACACAAAACAGGCCCACCACGACATCATCTTCTTCTTCACTTCACGTCTTCATCATCTCCAAGTTCTTCTTCTCTAAACCTTCTGCTTCTTCTTTTCTTCAATCGTTAACTTGTGATTTTTGTCTTTTGCAGGTGCAATCAAAGGATCAGACTTCAACATGAATTTGTACTCGAAGAAAAGTCTATCTCGATGATCAGCTCAGGCACACAGCGCTTAAGTACAGCTTTGGTCCATACTCCAATATCTACAGCACCAGATATTTGACCAAGTTTGAAATGCAAAGTTTTTAGAGTTGGAACCTCGTGCAAAAGCAAAGACCTATCTACAAAGCGCGAAAATCTTCCATACTCAATATTCTGATAGCTGTCATCATATACCAGTATTGGCACCAACATCCAAAGAAACTGCCATCTTTTTGACAAAACCATTGTGGCAACAACATCTTTGGCAGGAAGTAACGACAATATTACCAAGAGCACTGCGTCAGGCAGCTGACTTATCAAATCCATACGACCTACTCCTTTCAAATAGAAAGCTTTCAGATTCTGCAGATTTCCCTTACACCAAAGCCTGAAAAATCATATACGAACAAGCAATGTGAAACTCTAATTAGTGTGCGTGTTCTCTCATGAACCAAACAAGACAGTTTTAAACAAAGACACATGGTTAAAGCAAACCATAGCTAAGTACAGAATCCACAAAATAGAAAGGGAATCAAAATCCTAACTCATAAAAAATCATACAAGTAAGACTAAGAATCAGAAGAAATTCACAAAAGAGGAAAATACCTTGAACAAACCCCTTGGTATTTTTGAGTAACAACTTCTTCGTTACTGGCACCAACTCGTCTTCAAATAGGAACCCTAATTGATTTGAGCGGTGCAACTTCCAAAATTCAACGAACGATTCATATTCCATAGACAGATAGAATTAATGACTCTTTAACTCTGATTATTTCCCACAAGGCCTTCCCGCTTCTTGTACAAAACAATAGTACAATAATGAAAATGACATTGACTCATTTCTTCTACGCGCATATTACTCGAATTGGTTTTACGTGCCAAAATCTTTCTCACGATTTGGACTTTAGAGAATCCGTGAGTGTGAGGTAGCTCAAATATCTTAGGGTTTGAATTTCAGTTTTTTTTTTTATAAGACCGTATTTTCAAAAAGACAATTTACATATTTAATTTTTTTTTAAACACTGATATTCATTTTGAAATTATTTTTATGTCAACTAATTATAAAAACGCACAAATGAAACCCACCTACTCCAACCAGAGGTGTGTAAGTCACCAACAGAGCAAAACCTGTCTCATGGAAGATAAGAGATCCAAGAACCTCTTCCTAATCGAAAGAGATAAAAGAGTAACAAGAAGAAGATTATAGCCAATCGTTTTGCCATGTCATTACTAATACTAGAGAATTAAAAAAAAAAACACAATTAAAAAAAAAGGAAATCAGAAAATAGATTTAGGGTTTAGGGTTTAGGGTTTAGGGTTTAGATTTTACAATTAAAACGAAATTAGATGTCGGTTTGGGTTGCCAAATGAGTGGTTAAGGTTTAGATTTTATAATTAAAACGAAATTAGATATCGGTTTGGGTTGACAAATGAGTGGTTAGGGTTTAAATTTTACAATTAAAACGAAATTATATATCTGTTTAGGTTTGTGAAATATTTGTTATATAAACCCTAAACCCTAAACCCAAATCCTAAACCATAAACCCTAAACCCAGCGGTGAACAGATATATAATTTCGTTTTAATTGTAAAATTTAAACCCTAACCACTCATTTGTCAACCCAAACCGATATCTAATTTCGTTTTAATTATAAAATCTAAACCCTAACCACTCATTTGGCAACCCAAACCGACATCTAATTTCGTTTTAATTGTAAAATCTAAACCCTAAACCCTAAACCCTAAACCCTAAACCCTAAACCCTAACCGATATCTAATTTAGTTTTAGTTATAAAATCTAAACCCTAACCACTCATTTGGCAACCCAAACCGACATCTAATTTCGTTTTAATTGTAAAATCTAAACCCTAAACCCTAAACCTTAAACCCTAAATCTATTTTGTGATTTCCTTTTTTTTTAATTGTGTTTCTTTTTTTTTTAATTCTCTAGTATTAATAATGACATGGCAAAACGATTGGCTATAATCTGTTGGGTGAATTTAAAGGTTCACCCCAAGGGTAAACCTAAGTATGGTTCCAAGAAGAATATATATATCTTTAGGTTTTCTTCTTCCAGCACCCAGAGTTAAAAAACATTCAATGAGCTAAATATAAAAAAGAAGATAAACATAACAAGTTCTAATTTCTTATCTAAAATTCCGATCTAAGATTCCAGCAGAATGCAAGCAGACATGCTGGTGAACGCCTAGATGATACGGGAAAATCATTGAGCATCTCAAGTTTCTTGTCGTGGTCAATGGATTCAGAGCATATAATAGTGGCTTGCTTTAAACAACTTGCAACTCTTAAGATGAATGCTACTATTTCTTTTTCTGTTTCTGTTCTTTCATATTTTACTCATTCAAAGGTTTCAAGACTAGGTAACAGATATTCAGGCACCAAGCTCGTTTCATTCCAGCACGCGCGCGGCTCTTCACCCCGAAGGTAATGGTACTGAGATACAAGTATATCGCATCATATCAATCGTACTTGTAAAAATAACTTTATCAAAGACACTAACTGAACAGTGAAATATATGTACATACCTGTACAATTTTGAGAGTTTTTAAATTAGGGGAATCTCTGAGCACACGTATAAGGACGTTCAACCATTCTGTCTCACATGTGCATATAGTTAAATGTATAAGAGAGCGGAATATACTACCAACAGGATACGCATCCTGCATAATTTAGTTTTGATCATAAGAGAACTCGCTTAGTGACCATATCAATTTTTGTTCATTTAATCCTTCCAAAATAGAAAACGAATAATGTGTACTAATTAAAGAACATGTTACCTTCGAGGTTGGTAAGCAGAGAAAATGACGCTTGGCTGAAGTTAGAGAGCCCAAAAGCTGCTTAGCTTGGGGAGAAAAAATGTCGATACTTGCGGTGATAATCCTACTCATAGTATTCTTAACGACACGAGACCCATACGAATAATCAACTATCTTCAAGTGTTCCAAAGAAGGAGTATCTATCACAAACCCGTCACCATCGTTACCAACTATTAAGTGTCTATACAAGAA